TACTAATTTTTTTGGTCTCAAATCACTCCTACATTAGCTACATTATCAACACAAAATGCTCCTAATACTTATGTTTGGCCCCCTTAAATATTTTAAATTTGTCATTGGCACCCGTTATGTGAGATTTTTGGCTATGTTCCTGGTGGGAAGAGGCGTTCCCGTCGACTACGAGGTGTGTGCGGTGACTTTTTCAATCTGAAGATGTGACGCCGGCTCAATATCTCGAAGGTGCTCATAGGGTAGGGTGTATGTGCATGTGTTCATAGGAATGAGTGTATATGCGTATATATGGGCATTTGTGAATTTACTGTGTTAAAAGAAAAAGTTTTGCTACACCTACAGACTAAATTCCACGGAATTAATCCATAGACTGAGGTGGCAACATCTGACTGAAAATTGAGGGAAGGTTCTCTAAAACTAATAATGAGTGGAGGTTCCTCGCGCAGAAAGAAGGATTAGTGAAGGCGGGAGCAAAATGTGGCCAGGCTTAAAGAGACTTTTGCAGACCGGCCTACTACTGTTCCAGGACAACATGAAAACCTCCGTATCTTGGCCGAGCCTAGAAGAGGTCTGGACACTTTACCTAATGGATCCCGTGGACTCCACGGCGAAAGGCCCATGGTCCTCGGTCACGGTGGGACCAAAGCCCGGAGACGAAACACCCTGCCTCGTTGGCCTCAGAAAAGAAAAACCCTGCCTCGTAAAACCGTGCTGTTTCCGTTGTTAGGAATCTAATAGTATTAGTATTAGAGAGTGTTTGTTTTCAGAGATTTATTGGTTTAGGGACTAAAAAAATCCCTATAAGTCCCATCTAAACCAAACAGGAGAGACTTATAGGGGCTTAAAGTGGGCATTTGGGACTTATGAAATAAGACTTTCAAGGAGGGATTTATAGGGACTTATAGTTATAATATGGCCTTATAGAGACTTATAAGTCCCAGGAACCAAACAGGTAGGGACTTTTTAGAGACTTGAGACTTATAAGTTGGGACTAAAAAAAGTCCTAGAACTTATAAACCAAACAGGACCTTAGGCTAATTAGGCAGTTAACAAATTCCTTAGAATATTCTAACCGGTGATTAGAATCTTGGCGTTGTCCAGACGCAGTACATAGCGAACCATTGTCGTGTTTTTTCTGAACCGTCGCCGCACCTTTTCTGAACGATGCGACGCCTCTTGTAATCGACGCTGTAAACATCCGTTCAGGACATATAAAAGCCTGGATGAATCAATCAATAAAGATCACTCCATTCACTTCAATCTTTCTGTTTCTCTTCATGTCATCAGCACTGCTCGAACCAAAGAATAGGCTACAAGAGAGAAAGAGAGGTGAGAAGAGATGGATTCTCTGCAGGACCTTGCTTTCGCTTTCGCCCGATTTATGGCCAGGGAACGCCGGGGCTTCCGTTTTCCTCGCCGGATTTTTGGTCCGGCTGCTGCTCGTCGCCGGAACTTCGGCCACCGCCGTCAGCGTCGCCTGAACAGGAATGGCGGCCTCCGCCGCCGCAATGCACCATACCGTGCTCCTCTTCATCGCTACAGTCCTGGTGGTGGCCTCCTTCGCTGCAACGCCCATCGCCAGCGCCTTCACTGTGGTCATTGCCGGGTGCATCGCAGTGACTCCCCTGGAGCGCCAGGACCGAGTACCAGGGCGGATGCACCCAGGGAAGACATCCTGGTCATGCCCCAAGAGGCTGCTGCCGCACCAAACGCTGTCGACGAATAGGTTTTGCAGGGGCCGGGATCGAGCACGAGATTGAGGCCTCTGCCTCCAACATCACCACGGATGCCGCGGAACTGCTGCCGGTGTACACGCCCATGGAGTGGATGCTTGCCGGACCAAGCGCCGGATGGCTCGTCGATGACCCAGACCGCTACTTCTCTGACGAGGAACTCGCGGCGCCGCCTCCGCTGATGTACTCTTGCCCAGGCTACGGGTACGGGTCGGGCCTCCCGTCCCCGACGCCATCTGACGAGGACCTGGAGCACTTCAACCCACCGGGCTACGATCCGCTGCCGGAGTTCTCCTCGCCGCCGGCTGCAGTCTCTCTGGACGCGCCCAAGCCCCGACTCGTCATCAACCTCCTGCCGAAGGTGAAGACGGAGGAGATCGAGGCCGATGCGCCGATCCACGCTCTCCCAGCACGCCGCGACCTCAACCTCCCGGCGCTGGAAGTGGAGGAGGAGGAGCACCAGGAAGCAGCGCCGCTGTCTGCGCTCTCGACGCCCTCGTCGGAAGCCCGTGTGCTCCTCCGCCGCTTCGCATCAGCCATGGCTGTCCGCCCTGCTGGAACCCGCGCCGGCACTTGGTCGCCCGAGGCACTCGGCCTCACCGGTCGTGTCGCGGATCTCCACCCCCATGAGGCCG